AACGTTACCGCCATCTCCTAATTTCCGAAACTTCTTCCCCCATCCGAACCAAAACAGGTATTAAAGGATTAAGTTCCGATTTACTTAACTGCAGATTAAAAGCAAAAGCTCTTTGCGAAGTTATCGTCTTTTGCAAACTCGAGAATTCTTGCGGGCAAATTAAGGCGGGATAAAAACGATTAAGAACTAGGCCTGATAAAAGGGTTTGTTTAAGAAGTTACCCGGGGGGGGATGAGGAAACTTGAAAACAAAGATGTTCCGTGAATTAACTGAGATGATCCAGTTCTTTTTTAACTCGCGTAACGCCGAAGGAACAAATGTTTAAGTTGTAATTGATGTTAAATATTGTAAAAACATTTTCTATATATTCAAATTTATATAAATAGATATACATTATCCGATTTTGTTAACCTATCTAAATCTTTCCTATATAAATTTAAAATACAATTTTTAAGTCAATGTCTAAACATTTTCTTTATTATGGTCTTTTAACGCTTCTTCTAAAAAGCTTATCATCTTGTTATTAGTGATCAACAAATGCAAAATCATGACCAAAACTTCCTTGCTCTTGGACTTATGCAGTTAATAAGTATCATTTTTAATAAGTATCAAGGTCTTGTATTTTTTAATAAATTTTAACTATGGATGACATTTATTACCTGGATGTTTTGTCGTATCCACTCTATTCTTTTACGGTCTCTCTTGGATATTCCCAGTGTATTTCGTTCCATTGAGCGTTGTGCGACCTGCAGTTTTCTTATGATGTCCAGCGACTTTAATATAATTTAGTTATAAATGTAAATATAATGGCAGGTAAAAATTAATTATTAAATATTTTTTATACCTAGTTTGCAAATTTATTATGTATGTATTTCATTTTTTTTATCTGATAATATTAATATGGTTATTAGATGAGGTAAGTTACTTCTCTCATCTATCAAACTTACTTTGGAACAGTACTACTGTACCAAAGAATATACATAAGTTTTACTTTATTATTAATAAAGAATATAAAACTAATATTTACTAGTACCACTGAATATACATAACTTTTTAAGTATTCCCTTTTTGCAATTTGAATTAAACTTTGTGTTTAGTTTCTGTGTGTTCATATTAAACGATAGTTACAACGTTTAATATTAATATTTGTCTTTAACACAACTTAACTGTGTTGCTAACAGATTTATTTACTCCCGTTTTAGCTGAAGATAAATACAAATTTTATATTTATGTTTAACATGTTTAATGTTTAGTTATTATAAAGTTTGTTATTCCATTATACATCTAGTATGGCGTATAAAACGGAAAACTTTGTATATTGCACAAGAAAGTTAATTAGAATTAATATATCTACTTGGAAATCTGGGGCTTATTAAATTACGTATTAACTCGAGCTAGTTTTGTATTTGTACAATATTCTGTCTAATCCTCTACGATTTAGAGTTGTAACAAGTTACCTACATTACGTAAACTTTATTAAATAACCCAACTTGCACAAAGTTAGATGCAGCAGTTCTGAGTTTGTTCAGCAGTTAATGCAACTTTGGATTTAACGAAAATCGTCTTCGAAAACTGTAATTATGAAAGTTTAGATGTTTAGGTTAAATTTCGAAAAATATTCTCCAGACAATTGGTTTATCATGGTTCGTGGGATGTTATTACAAACTTACAGTTTATGGACGTCATTTATTACCAAAGCTATTATAAAAATAAATTAGGTATCCTCAAGTTACTAAGACTAAGATATTTCTTAATGCAATTAACGCAATTATTGTGGTAAAATCTAACATTTGAATAACTACTACCCCCTGTATAAATTGTGTAGCTATGGATACGTATAAATTACTCAGGGTAAATGATATAAAAAATATTCAGAAATTATTATTTCAAGGAATTTATTACGAGTAGAAAAAATATTGTGCTGGATTGGGTTGGTTTCTATGTAATTTGACTAATAAATAAAGCTGTCTCTTTAGTTGTCACTTTTGAGTCAATATTTTTTAATTCTCTTTCGTGTCGATTGCTGATTGAATTGGAGCCAGAAATGGCTCAAAACGAAATAAGTAAATTACCAACAGATATTCAGGCTGAATAACTTATGCAAAGAAATAGAAACATTTTCAAAAATGGGAGCAATTAAAAAACGTGCGAGAATAGAACTTTTTAACCTATCCTCGCTGTTAAAGTATCATTTAATCTACCCTTGCGGTTAAAGTAAAATTTTATCTACTATTTTTGATAGATTTTTTGATTTTTGACAATTTTATTTTAACACTTGCTATGAAAAAAAAAAAGGTTTTTATGAAATAATTATTTTTTATTCTTATAATTTTCCTTAGATTCATATAGTCATAAGGCATTAATAAGAATAGATTACATTTTTGAAGTGACTATCGGTCTGGTTTTGTTTGGGAGTGTGACATTTGTTGGACACTGTGACCTTTCCAGGCGTATTGTGGTCATCTTCTAATCTCTAAGTTACATTATCCAATCCTATCCTTTTTGAAATGTCCAATAATCCAAAAAATCACACATTTCCCAGGCTGCCTCACTTACTCACAACATAAAATGTGCTCTGTTGTGTCTTCTTTCGATAGACAAAATCTGCATCATGACTTATTCGTTCGTCAATCCCATCAGCTGTATATAGTTCATATCAAATAAACTTTTAGTCAAATGATTAAACTTGACCGGTACAGCGTTACCCACTTTTACGTATTTTCTCTTAATCAAAATATTTTAAGAAACAAAAATAAATTAATTATAAATATATAAACAGTTATTATTTACATCAACAAAACTCACCTCCTTAACTAACTATTCTAATAAAGTTGCGATGACTTTTTTGATTTTTTTGACAATGTTCGATTGCAAGGTCAGCTAGTAAATTTTTTAAGCTTAAAGTAATCACAACACGATTCATTTAAACCAAAAACTCGTAATACAAAACTGAAGTGTCAAAACGAATGACAATGTCAGGAAATACATAAATAAATGTGGCAACTTGACATATTTTACAGCAGAGCTACCACCTGAATCTCCAGCGGGAAATTTAAATTCTAATTAGTTAGCCCGGCGCCGAATATTTCCATGCTTGGCAACAATGAATAACTTAAAAATCGCGCCCTCGATTACGTAACTAAAAGTTTAATTGGTATCGAATGTAGATACTTATTAAGCTTACAATGCCCTGTCAGATGACCCACTATAGCCTTGACATTCTTCCTGTCTTTGATAATCAGATCTGCCGTAAATGATCGCGAATGTTCTACTATGAACTTTTCCGCCTCTCTCAAAATTTTCTCTCTATTTCTCCACAATTTTTGAGAGTTGTTGGTTACTCACTGTTTTGTGGTCATTCTTGTAACTGATTTTGCAAGTCCTAGGCCTATGAATGCCACTGAGGAGCGATAATAACGATATTGACATTTATAACGATAATATTAAAATACAAAGTATTACAATATTGCTTGGAGAAAATTATAATTTAAACGAAAATGTTATATCTATATTTAATAGCCAGTTAATGGCTTATATTTCAGCATGCAATAAAAAACCGGAAAGATTGAACCTCGAATATCTCAAATATAATTAATAGGTGGAAATTATGCTGTCAAGCAACTAACAATTAATTATGCATCTGGCATTTTACTTTAATAAGAAAATAGAAGATATACCTATTTATATTAAGAACAGACGGAAAAAAAACTTGAGAAAATAAAGGTGTTAGTTAATAGTAAAATAATAAAAAACTTTAAAATCCCTTCCTGGTGATTTACATTTTTCACTAATTTACTAATAGTATTATAAATGACATATTTTAATATTTAAATATACTTCTTTGGCCCTTAGGGGGTAAGCGGGTAAAGCGGGTGTCTGGCTGAAGAAAAAACATATTATATTTCAGAAATTTGCCTAAGGTTTAGCCTGATCCTGTCGTGTTAAGCCACACCCAAAATTCCAAACACACGTGCTTTGATTAAGGCTTGATTAATAGGTTTGCAGAGCTTCAGCCTTTGCCATAAAATAGCGACCAATTTGTTACAAAACCATATAAATTATATATCACTGTAACCACCAAACTTCAATCTATTTCCGTATTGTAACGGAATTTTAAATTATGTCTTTATTTTCGAGATAATTTAGTCCAAACATAATGAATATTTTGTCGGTGTTTGACCATCAAAATCTTAAAAATAAAGATGTCTAAAAAAATGCTACAATACGGATCTAGTATAATCCTTTATCTTTAATTTCCTTCTTCATTTATGTAAAAATACCTAGCCAGTTTTACATAAAACGTTAAATGCCGAACGCTTATTTTGGACTACTGAAATGGACACTATTTTTATAGTGTTCTAGTTAATAAATATATCTAAAATCTACAATTTTCTGTCCCCTAAGTTGTAATAAGTAAAATTTCTAATTACAGCTGACCGAATTTAACTATTCTAATTACAACTGACGACAAAATTATTCATGGTAGTTTAGTCCTCAATCACGATGAAGTATTTATAGACCTAATGGACTTTTATTGATTTTCCAGCACTAAATTTATAATCTAACCGAATCAATGAAATAAACGATCCACCAACTGATACAACAAAGCACTTAAGTGCGCAATTAATTTTAAATTGCTTCGAGCAATCATTATCTTATATTGGTATATCGCCGTATTGTATTTTTTAAAGTTTTCAGAGCAATAAAGATATAACGTGGCTCATTAAAAATAAATTACCTATGTAAAATTATACTTTATTATACGGAATAACATACGCTGGACTAGTAATTTTCAAAGAAATTCAGTGTTAGTTTTATTATTAAATAAGCAGGTGGTATTTTCTAGCAAAAAGAACATAATTGTACGTAGAAATTATGTGTACAATTAAATATAATTCCTTAATTCTATACTTGATTTTTTCGCTGGCTGCTTTTATTAGTTATTAGAATTAATATGTTTTTAGTTATTAGTGTCTGAACATTTTCTTTTTTGTTTTTAGGTAAGCCGAGTTCAGAAAACGTTTTCTGAAGACGTAGTCCATAGTTGTTCGGTTTTAATTTTTGCACCAGGTAAGTTAATATATTGTTTGTATTTCAGCAACAAAACTTTAAAAATTGAAGGGTCCAGGGAAGAAACATGATAAGCTTCAATTATTTTAGGGTTTTACAATGCTATAGCAGGTCTAACTGCCCCTACAAAATGTATAAACTCTGCAGGGTAATAAGCTGTTAAATCCTATGACATATGCTTAAAAAATATACGATACAGGGAAATAACCTGATAACCACCAGCCATCCAGGATACTCCTGTAAGATTAGTAAAATGGCGCTTATCATGTTTTCCTCTGGACCCTTCAATTTAAATGTTAGATTCTAATTGTTGTAGTGTTATGTCTTTTGCGTTGTAGACATACTCAACCAAATATCATCCTATTTGGTAACGGGGGGATGACTCGGTCAAAGTTACTTGGACCAAGTACACTTGGATGCTGCAATATAACTGTACTTATAATAATGCTGCGCGCGCCTCACTGATACGCTGTATCAAAGTAAATAGGTTGGAGTGGAACTCTGTAACTAAATTGCAATCGGTAGCGATGAAGAATGCTATCGCTTGCTCTTTAGTTTGTCGGCCAAGGTCAGTATTCTTCATCGCTACTGATTGTTATTTAGTTACAGAGTTTCACCCCTGCCTTCCAACGTGGATACTACGAAGCCGTCCAACTTGACTTTGATAAAACTATATACATATAACTAAATATATTCAGCCTAATCTCTAAAAAGTGAAGCTCAAATAGTAAAAGAAAGTAAAGTAAAGATTTCAGTTAATGTCTCCTTTTTGATGCCAGGGCTAATCTGGACGGGACCTACTTTGTTGACGCGGAATCCGAACCGCGGTCCTCGGCCATATCATGGTCAATGGCCTACCGACTTGGCAAGTGTCTAAATCGACTCTTACTCACGAGATATCCGATTTTTGGACAACAGCACGATACAGAATTTCGAACCGGTCACCCGTCCATCCACTAGTATCGCCTTACGTCGCTTAACTTCGGTGTTCTAATGGGAACCGGTGTTTTAACGTAGCTGGGCCGTTGCCCAAACAGTGAAAGAGAAATATGAAATTCTGCATAAGTCTATTTCACCCGGATATTAATTTAATTGCGCATGCCTTACCAGAAGAAGTTTTCATTGGTCGGTGTTTTTAAAGGGAAGTGGTTGACTGACATTTCACCTAATCTTCAATTTTATTTATATTTTTATTATTTATAACACATCATCATGGAGTTGGAAAAGTATCAAAAAATAGTTGGAAACAATAAACTAAACAAAATCACTCTTTTACGCGTACAAATAAAAAGTAATCCAAACAGAACTAAAACAACAATCAATCGGAGTTTGGCGCAATCGCAGTTCAATCGATATCCGGGTGAAATAGATATATGCAGCATTAATATGGAGCTGAGTTATGCTGCTTTTATTTACGGCACGGAAATGGCACACGGGGTTAAATAGGGAACACTGAGTATATTTAGTTAAATGTATATGGATAAAACGGCTGATACCATACAAACAGCGTAAAAATGAGACGCGCGCAAGGTATACTCACAAGGGATACTTTATAATGGCAGCATCCGGTAGACTTGGTCCAGGTACATTTTAACCGTGTCAACCCAGCTTAAGTTGTAAAATTCATCATTATCTAGTGATGATACAAAAAAGACTAGAATTTAAAAAAAATCCTTGGTGTGCTGTTTGTTAAATTTACAATCGATGATTAGGTTTAACATTTTAGTCATGTTTTTAAATATCTAATTTGACATAAATACTAAATACAATATACCTAACTAGTTACATAAACCAGACACACCTTAAATGCATTATTTATAGCCGAACTAGACCAAGTAAGAATGACAATTGGTTGTTAATTGTAGAAATTGTAGAAAATGTCTAGAATGTTTTACAAAGCACAGCAAAACAATTTTAATTTTTAATCTACAACCAACAAGAGTTACATTGCTGACGAGTACGACTGTAGTTAATTGCGTATAAATCTCTTTTTTAACGTTAAACAAGCAATAAAAAGGCAAATATACGTTTCGAAATTATTCTCAGGGCAATGTTATTAAACCATTGACTGCAAGCCGAGAAATTTTATATAAAACACTATCATTTATATGAAATACTGTCGTGGCCGGATAAAAATCTCGACTGGAAATAAAATGCGCAGTAAATTCGTATTACAAAATGGCCCCGTCTGGGTGCAATTGACAAGAAAATGAATTAGAGAGATGGAAAGAATTCCATGCTGAAAGAGAGGGTCCAGACTTAATAAGCAGTTTTCGTTACGGCACGTTAAGTTCAGACATTTTTACATGACTTGTACTTTATTATCAAAATATAAGTAATATTAATGTAGTAATTTATCTTCCAGGTCGGGGGTTTCATTTAAATAGTGATATTATACAGGGTCCGGCAATAGTGCGTCGGGCATCTGTAGCTCCTAAAATAGAAAACTTGAGAATTTTGTTTAAGTGCAAACCTAAAGTATGTACCAGGATGTATTTCAGGAAAATATATTAACTTCTATAGGGTGGCTCAAAAAAGTGTGAGTGGACCTGGATGATTTTTCTTAAATGGAACACCCTGTATATTATTGCATTTTGGGTTTTCTCTCAGATCACTTTACATAACCCTGAAAGATATGAATAAATATATTTCGATAGTTTCAGAGATATTAAAAAATAAATCAAAAATATATATTTATCAGCCCTTCTTAAAAAATTATTAAAAATACAAGAACTGTTCTGAAATCAAAACTATATTAAGTATTTACTTTAGATGGTCTGTTCTTACTTTGCAATAAATATGGAAATCGTAAATTATACAGGATGTTCAAAATTCTACGCCAAACTTTCTAAAATATAAAATAATTTTTCTTCGTTTTATTAAATGGAACACCCGGTATATTATTTTTCAGTCGACGGAGAATTAAATAATGAACATTTGTTGTATTCAGAGTATTTCAAAATTTTTAACGGTTTCGCAGATATTTGCGGTTTTATAATTCATATGGTGTATGAAGGTACCCGGTGGCGTAGAGGTACAGGCTCTCTTCTACCAATCTGAAGGTAGTGGGTTCGAATCCCACACCTGGCATTGCATCAGCCAACTATTTTTATTAAAATAAAAATAGTTTGGGTACCTAGGTCGACTCAGCCTCAAATGAGTACTTGGGATTCACAATCCTGAGGTAATAATAAGCGGTTGAAGCGTAGTGCTAGTCACATTACCTTCCTTCTATACCGAACGGCTCTAGTATGGCAAGCTGTACCTTGCTACTCCCAAGGCGTTAAACGCTATATACGGGAGCTATTATAATTATATTAATTCATATGGCATTTTCCACAGTAAATTTTTATCAAAGTCACTCAATGATTTTTCTTTCGTATTTTACCATTGAAAGCACCATATGAAATAATACTGCGTGTATCTGCGAAATCGTTAAGCACAATTAAAAGCTAAAAATTTTGAAATACTCTAAATACAAAAAATGTTCATTTTTAACTCTCTATCTAATAAAAAAAATAATATACCATTAAAAAACCAAAAAAAAAAGTTTGGCGTAGAATATTGAACATCCTGTATGATTTACGATTACCATATTTATAGCAAAGTAAGAACAGACCATGTAAAGTACATACCTAATGTAGTTTTGATTTCAGAACAGTTCTTGTATTTTTAATAATTTTTTTAAGAAGGGCTGAAAAATATATTTTTGATTTATTTTTTAATTACCTCTGAAACTATCGAAATATATGTATTCTTATTTTAGGGTTATGTAAAGTGATCTGAAATGAAACCAAAAAGGCAATGATACACAGGGTGTTCCATTTAAAAAAAATCATCCAGGCCCACTCACACTTTTTTGAGCCACAATGAACTTATTTTCATTTCAAAAATACGTAGTAGTTCTACGTCCGCGGAATATTGGGTCACCCTCTATAAACACCACTTGTATCCAACCGATATTTTCTTGTATTATATACATTAAAACTCTATTTAAAAAAAAAGTCGTCTTCTAGTATAATATATGAAGCGTGTAACTAACCATTAGAAAATATCTATACCGCACGGTATTTACATACACCTAATAACTATATACCTATTCGATAAATTTTTTAAACTTTATTTTACAACACGTAATTTTCATTAATTATATAACTGTACACTCTTTGTCTTAATTTTACATTGTCGATACATATACGAGGAAACATAAAATTAAAGTAATTTGCTACTAGTCAGGTTGGTTATTGAAATTCCGTTCTGTATTGTGAGCCTGCCAGTTATCCATTAGAAATAATCATAGTTGTTGCTGGTCTCAGTTGTCGAAAAAATTGATACTTCTGGGTTCGTTGTAACTTCAACCGAGAGGAAAACCTTTTAGAGATTATTGGTCGTTTTTAAAATACATTCGAAATAGCAATTTGTAAGATTGAATTTATGAGATTCTCTATATCGAATAGAAAACTTATTTCTTAAATTACAAACTGGTTCTCGAAAGGGATAATACATAGAGTAATTTTCAATCTTAATAGACATCTGTTGAAAAGCAATCTTTCTTTTTAATAGGACTTTTTCTCGACAAGACACATCATTTTGATACATTATCATCACTGTCTAATATCAAAACGTGTTTTGTTTTTTACCTCTATCTATGTCGATGTACAAGACACGTGGTAATATGTAGTAATCTGAAGAACATCCATTAGTAATTTGAATATATTTTCTTTTCTGCAAATTGTATATTTTAAATAATATTATCAAATATAGATGTAATTTTTTAAAAAGAAAATAATCTTATTATGATTAGAAAAGTTTTAAGTTCATATTAAGTCCATAAAAGATATCACTTTCTCGTTAAATTTGACAGTTAGTAACTATAGCTCATTGACAGTATGACACTGTCTCTTAGAAAGGCACAGCCATTTTACTTAATACTACACAACATTTTTAAACCAGACTCACCTCACTTTAGCCTCAGAATGCTCATTCCTTTTTACAGTCAT